CCCAGCAGAGCTCATTGGCAGTTGTCCCTATGAAAGATGGGTGGCACATTTATGGAAAGTTATGTCCTAAAGGTTTCTGGGGTTTGTCGTGACAGGTGTGACTAGCAGCCCAACTATTGACTAAAAGCATTTCAGACAAGAACTGGTTCCTGAATTCTTGCACTTACTGGGAAATGGAATTAATTTCGGGGGAGCTGGGGGGGCGGGCGTGTGTGTGTGTGTGTGCGTGCGTGCGTGCGTGTGTGTGTGTGTGTGTGTGTGTGTGATTTTGCTCCAAGTGTAGATGTATGCCAGGGCACTGGAGTGGTATGCACTTTACCATTTCTTAGAATGGAATTGCACGTGATCAGAATGTGGAAGAAAATCATTTCTTCTCTAAGTAATTTTTTTTTTTTTTTTTTTTTTTTTTTTTTTTTTTTGTTTTTTTCCGTCTCCGGCAACGGATCGCAACCCTCAGTGTTGCCCCCGCACCGGACCGGGACCGGCAACAGGACCGCAACCCTCGGTGCCGCTCCCACGCCTCACTCAGCCAGTGAGTGGGAACCGGTCTGCATGTGGGATCCGAACCCTCGGGCGGGAGTGCCGCCCTGCCTCCCAAGCGGCGCACTATCCAGTGCGCCACCGGGCCGGCCCTTCTCTAAGTAATTTTGTTAGTTTTTTCCAGCTTGGAAACTTGGTTACTTTCTAATTATAGATTGTGGCTGGGCATGTTGTAAGCTAAAACCAGTTCTATAGGACTCCTTGCTCTGTTCTTTTCCCTTGAACATGAGCAACAGGAACAGGTGAGAAGCAAATTTGGAACTGCTTGAGTCAGGCCTGGATTTTTCATTGTTCTTTGTCCTGGGCTGTTTCTAGACATTTAACCCACATGTCTACTTTACTTGTCCAGAGGAAAACAGAAAAAGCTTGACATGAGTTTTAGTATATGCTTTATTTTACAAATTATTATTTTAATAAGTATTCTAGAAAGAACTGAGTGGGAGACCTTTGATGCTTTGCTGCCAACCACCCATCTCCTGTTGCAGTTTATTCAAAGGAGTTTCCTTAAACTTTAACCTTCCATTCTAGTTCTTTCCGTTAATTTTGACATTTGCTTTTCTTTACAGCTGAGAAACATTTAGGTAGGTTACAGGACAAAGTCAAGGCTTTGTAAAGGGGTTTCTTTCAGGCACCTTTCCCCAATTTTATTTGTTCATTTTCAAATGTCAGGGTTTTTATTATTATTATTATTCAAGTAATACATGGCCATTGAAAAAATATGAAAATAGAAATAAGCAAATGGAAATAAACTGCCCTGATTCTACTACCCAGCATAACTACTGTAGTCTTTTTGTATAATTTCTCTCAGAATCTTCTTGGTGCTAGGAATGAGATTTATTAATCTGTGAGAGTTTCTGGCCTCTCCATTCAGTCTCCCTACTACCTACTAAAGAGGATTTCGTTTTTGCCCTGTCCAGTTTTTCCCTCCTCAGGCCTACGAGGAAATTTTTGTATTTCTCAGAATAGTTCTGGGGTTATATGGGGAGACAGGGTATAACCCACATACAATTTTTTTTTTTTTAATCAAGAGAGAAAAGTGCAGAGAGGCTAAGTAGCCCCAGATAATACAGAACCAAGAGGGAGAGAGGGCAGACAACACAACAGGTGTCCCTTGTGCTGGTTGTTGGGGAAAGCTTGAGGATCTGGAGCATAAGCAGGGATTAAGATTGGGGGTGGAGAAGGAAGAGCTTTGCTGTGGTATATGAGTTGAAATTCCACTGAAGTTACTGGAGAGATGGTACAAGTAGAGATGGACTGTTGTAGTTGGCCTGTGCCAAGCCTGGGCAGCAGTTGCTTTTATATTTTTATAGTTTCTTTTTTTATATGTACATTTTATTTCTGATTACAAAATAATATACTAATTTATAGAACTTTCTACTTCTGAGCTATCTGACCTATATGGTAAATTCACCTAACAGAATTATTAACATATTGTAATTGCTTTTACCTACTCAATATATCTTTAATGTATTCCTATATTATTAAGTGTACTTTAAAAAAAATAGCTGAATATACCACAGTCCAGTAAATTGTTGGCCATGTAGGTTGTTTCTAAAAGTTTTTAATCATAAATACCACTGATATGAATACTGTTACAACTCAGTCTTCACATTTTTATTTCCTTAGACTATTGAGTGAAGGAAAAACACACAGTCTTTTTCTTTTACTCCTACTTAGCAACAATGATCAACAGAGAAGACCAGATTCTGACTTTTATAACCAAATAGGGATTTCTCCCCATCAGCAAGCAAGCAAGCAATTCTGCAGGGGACATCAGCTGGGTGTCCTCTAATTCAATTTAATTCTGATACTATCTAAGACTGCCCCCATTTCAGATGCCAGCCATATATCCAGGCCTCTGGAACTTCTGACCAACCAGCTATAAATCAGGGTTCCAACAACTCCCTCCTTGGGTTCGATTAGTTTGTCTGAGTGGCTCACAGAACTCACAGTAACATGTACTTACGTTTACTGGTTTATTATAAAGGATACAAAGAGACGCATAGGGCGCGGTATGTGGGGGGGGTGGGGCACGGAGCTTCCATGCCCTCCCCCGCTGCACCACCCTCCAGGGACCTCCATGTGTTCGACTAACCTGAAGCTTGCTACACCTGGTGCTCTTGGGTTTTTATGGAAGCTTCATTACTTAGGCATGATCGAAGCATGGACAACCATGTAAAAATGCGATTGGACAAAAAGTATATGCTCTAACACCTACAGACTGGGTAGGGAAACCCAGCAAGGCCTGTTTGTTCAGCTTCTTCTTGGCTTCTCTGTGTAGCATTCTTTCCTCCCAGGCATGGGGCAGGACCCCTCCTGAAATGCAGGTCATATGACCTACAATTAGCTAAGGTAGGTTGGAGAATTTCCTGCCTTGCAGAGAAAAAAGCAGATGAAAGGAGGGCAGGAGAAGGTTAGAGAGTAGTAGGAGCCAGGAACCATGGATGAAAACCCATATATAAATATCATGATACTACAACTATATTCTGAAGCGGGGATTTATTGGCTTGAAGGGTATAAGTATTTGCAAGTGTTCTGTTTCTTTGACCTTGGTGTTCTCAGCACCACGCTCTCCTAAGTGAGCTAATCAGCCAGCCTTAGAACTCTTCTTTTGAGACTGGTTTTGTTTTGTTTTTTTCTGACAGCTGGCCAGTAACAGGGATGGAACCCTGGACCTTGGTGTTATCACTACCACAATGTAAACAAATTGAGCTAACCAGCCAGCCCTGCAAAGGTTTTGAATGAAATAAGCAACTTATTATTATGGGTTTAGTTTTAAATTAAATGCTACTGTTCTTACCACTGTTTAATTACGTGCATTTTAATAGAAATTTTTATCTTTTTTAAAGCAGTTTGATTTTGATTATATCTGTTATTTTCACCCAGTAATGTGTGAAAAACTTTCACTCAATTTAAAACTGTTTAAAATAGCTTTTGTTAGGGCTGGCCCATTATCTCGGTTGGTTGGAGTATGGTGCTGCTAACATCAAGGTCCAGCGTTCAATCCCTGTACCAGCCAGATGCCAAAAAAAAATAAAATAAAAACAAAACAAAATAGCTTTTGTGTCTCAGTAGGCAGAATTAGAGCTAAAATTTAAAGAGATTTTTAAAAAAATAATTGTGGTTATCCTAAATGTGAATCCAAATATGACTATGAATCTTTCATCCATTCTATTTCAGAGAAAGGAAGCTCTTCATTACCTCCTCTTCTCCTGTCTTCCCCCATTCCTTATTTTGCAGTCAGTCATGCTGATATTCAGAACATGATGAAAACATACTGGCTGTCTTTGTCCTTCCCAAGTAAAATCATAGCCTCTAGGGTAAGGAATTAGTAAGTCATTGTACTTGCCCACGACAATTGTCTTGTTAAGGGATTTGTATACACAGTGGGTCGGGGTGAGGGACTATAATGCCCAGTCATTCTCACTGATAACCTGGTCTAAATTTCTTCTTCATTTGTATCCCCTTTATCAATAGTAGTATAATTGCTATCACATAATAAATACCTTTGGCTGATATAAGAATGAATCTGGAGGTAATGTCCTTGGAAATCTCCATTAATAACCTATCTCCTAATGATGCTTTGGGCCTTTTAAAAGATTTGCAGTGGCCTCTCTATGTCAGGAGTCTTAAACTCAAATGCCAACATGGGACAGGCAGGTTGTGTAAGAGAGTGATTCAGGCCAGCTATTAGAAAAACAGTGATTAATGGCAGCTCACTTGTGGGCGTCTGTGTCAGGGATGCAGTAGAGAGTGGTGGGGACTGGAGCTAAATGGAGAGCAATTGTTCTGTCTGAATGAGAAGGCACTCCAGCCAGTTGTTGACATGTGGGAAAATGGACCTAGTGTTGTTATTAGATTTCCTTGTTCCAGGAGAAGCAAGAAACCCCAAGTTTCATAGGTTTTTTTTTTTTCTTTTTTCTTTTTTTAACACATAAAGATTTAAGTAAAAGTTTTTAAAACAGTGCACAAGCCCAACAAAAATGTGACTGTAGAAAAAAGACTGAATCTGGCCCTTGGAGACTATTGTGTAGCTTCCACTCTACATTCATCTATCCCAGCGGCTTTTATGAGGATTTACATAAGCTAAGAGAATACAATGTACTGTGTGCTAGAGCTCAAGATGTATGGAAGCTAAACACAACCTCTCCAAACGAAGCTTCAGTATTCAAAATTGTGGGCCTCTAATAAGATGGACTAACTAGCTTGGTGGGAGTCTGACTGCCCAGGTGGGATCTTAGCTCCACCCTTTTCTATCCTCTGTGCCTGTTTCTTCATTTGAGAAGTGAATTAATAGTATCTACTACATAAAGTTATGAAGAATAATTGAGACAGTTCAAAGTCCTTAGTAAGAATTCAGTGATTATTTCTGTTCTTTCTGTGCCTCCTTTTCCTTTTCTTCCTCCTCCTGTGACTCCTACTGCTGAGCTCCTCTCCCTCTTCTGTTTTTCATATTCCAGGTTTCTGAGCCCCTTCAACATGATCCTCGGAGGGATCGTAGTGGTGCTGGTGTTCACAGGGTTTGTGTGGGCAGCCCACAATAAAGACGTGCTCCGCCGGATGAAGAAGCGATACCCCACGACGTTTGTGATGGTGGTCATGCTGGCTAGCTACTTTCTCATATCCATGTTTGGGGGAGTCATGGTCTTTGTGTTTGGCATCACTTTTCCTCTGCTGTGTAAGTGCACCTGAGTTTTCTTTTTCTTATGTCATTAAAAACTGTAGGAACAATTGTCCAATGGGAAATACATAACCTGTTTCTTATGTGTTGACATGTCTGCAGAGTGTTAGAATTTTCTAAAAATCAAGGCCTAATAGTTCACTAATTCCACAGATATTTATTGGGGACCTGCTATATGTCATTCACTTCTCCAGGGACGCAACAGTGAACAAAACAAACACAGATACCAGGTCACAGAGCAGGAATGCAGTGTAGCCTCCACTGGACTCCAGATTTGTCTGATGCTAGAGTCTGTTCTCAATCTTTAAGTGCCATTCATTATTGTCCCAGCACAGGAATGAATGTATTTATCATTTGGAAGTAAACTATTTACTCTCCGCTTGCTCAGAAGATCATAATTAGCATTAAGAGTTTAATAAATCTATAAGAATAATTGGCCCAGAATGTAGATACTGAGTACTCGGATTCTGGTAAAGAGAACTAGATATTTTACATGCATTATTTACTAAGACCCCAAACACTTAAAGCCTGAAATAGAGAAGAGATAAAATTCCAGCCTCATCAACAGAAATCTAATTAAAATTCCAGTGTATTAAGTGACAGGAACATTCCTTCCCCCCCACCCCCCTTTTAACTTTTAATAGCATTTCACATGTACATTTATTCCATTAAGTAAAATCATTTGCTAATTTGGGGTTTTGTTAGATTAAGCCCAGAATATTTGTGGGTGAATCCCACACCTTGTTGGATGAAATATTTGAATCAACAAATTCAGACTTTTTGAAATTTTCTTCAGGTTTTCCATATGTGCTAGAGGCTTAGTATTTCAACAATTCTATTTAAATACACTGCTTCTTAACTTTAGTACCTTTTTATATCAGGCCAGTATCATGAATAGGTAATAGTTAACGGTCCTGATTTCTATTGCTAGATCTGTTGGAAACCAGCTTGTGATTTGGACCAGTCATCCTACAGGGGCTGTCCTTCACTCATCTATAAAATAAGGAAATTAGGCAAGATCGGTGTTTCTCAAACTTTGATAATTGTGAGAATTACCCAAGATGCTTTTTAAAAATATGTTTCCCAGCCACATCCCTTGGAGATCTTGATTCTGTGGGTCAACAGCAGTGCACAAAGAACCTGTGTTTTTAGGAGGCTCCTCGGATGTTTCTGATGGCCAGTCTAGGCTGGGAACCTACAGAGAGAATCCACATCAGTGTTTTTCAACATGAGGATCCTAGATCCATCTACCTGAGAATCATCCAGAGTAATTATATTGAAATTGCAGATTCTGGAGCCCTGCCTCAGTCTTAACAGTCTGAATTTTGGGTGGTGGAAACTGGGAATTTGCTTTTTTAACAGGCTCTCCAGGTGATTGGATGTACATGGAAAGTGGAAAACCACTGCTGTAGGTCACATGGAATGCCTATTTAAAATACAGATTCCAGGCCCATCCCTTAAGGTACTGGTTTAGGAGGTCCAGGAGAGGGGCCAGGGAATCTGTTTCTTAATAAACAAACTTGGTTAATACCTAATGATCAAGCAAATTTGGGGAACAGTGGGCTACATAAGTTCTATAACCCCCTTAGCTTTTTAATCTAGAAGCCTATATACAACATTTTGGAAAATGGCTTCTTAGGAGGCACCTTAAAAGTGGGCTTCACCTGTGTGCCTCCTGCAGGGAACAAACTACAGATAATCCCTGAATTAAGCAAGAGTTCCTTTTTTGGAAAACCTTGAGGAAGTTGAGTTATAGGTAGGTTGGAATCATGTTGATTCACTCTGAATTTCAGGACATTTAAGTAGCATCTGCAAGGTGATAATGTTAGTGTGTAGAGGAGAGAGTGTGGCTGCCAGATTATGGTCCTTCCTGCTGAATACAATGTTTTCCCTCACACATGGAAAAAACTGTATGACTTGAAAAAGAGCTTTTTAAAAAGTCCATGGACCCATTTGAAGGCTTGGATCAGCTAGAGAATCAGATTGTCTTGTAGCTAACTGAGGCAGTTGACTAAAAGTGTGAACACACAATGTTGATATGGTGAAAGAAAATTGTTGCTTCGGTGCTAACTGTGTGTCACTTCTCTTAGTGATGTTTATCCATGCATCATTGAGACTTCGGAACCTCAAGAACAAGCTGGAGAATAAAATGGAAGGAATTGGTCTGAAGAGGACGCCAATGGGCATTATCTTGGATGCCCTAGAACAGCAGGAGGAAAGCTTCAACAAAATCTCTGACTATATCAGCAAAGTGAAAGAATAAACATAGCTTACTTGGTGACAAGGTTGCAGCAGAAATGGAGTTGCAGTTTGCCCTTGTCCAGACCTACTTTCTGTTTGTGTTTTTGAAATAGGAGTTGCACATACCACCCAACTATCTATGGCAGCATGCATGTATAGGCCAAACTATTAACATCTCTGATGTTACAGAGAAAAGGCCTCAGAAACTGAAAGAAAACGATCCTGCTATTGTGTCTGAAGTTTCAAGTGTATTTATGTAATCTGATAGGAAATGGATCACACTTATTTCTTTAGGAGAATAAAAGAAAATAAAAGAATTATAGATTTTACAGCAACAATACTGTTATCTTGTAGGAAAAAAAAAGTAGTTGTAAAGTATCAAGGCAACGAGTAAATGGAAGGGCTGTAAAGTAGATGATGTCATGTGTTAGCCTGTTTCTAATCCCCTCCACCGTTCCCCTCCAAAAATATTCCCTAGGATTGTAATGCGTGGGGTATAAATTAGTTTAGTTTTTATTATTATTCTTTTAAAATCAAAGATGATCTGTTTCACTTTGCCACCTGTTTGACATGCAGTGGAAACTGGATAAGCCAGTTTATACTTTGTTTACAAATATAATGATAGTTGTTTAGGAGAGTATTTTGTTAAATTTTTGTAACTTTTTGAAATGTGTTTTCACCAGCAGGTGTCTGTTGCAAATTTAATGTCATCTTCCTTAAGGAGGTTACAGCTGTGTAACCTGTGTTATTCTTGACAGACTTGTTAGAAAACAAACAAAAAAATTAAACAAAACTTGATGTATTCATCCAGTTCTGTTGCTTATAACAGAATACCTGAAACTGGGTAATTTATAAAGAAACAAAGTTTATTTCTTACAGTTTTGGAGTCTAGGAAGTCCAAGATCCAGGGGCAAAACTTCTGGGTGGAAACTCTTTACAGGGTCCCCTAGCAATGCAGGGTATCACATGGCGAGAAAATCTCAGGAGCTCTCTCATGTTCTCCTTATAAAGCTAACAGTCCACACTCGTGATAACTCTGTGAATGAATTAATCCACTCACAAGGGCACCATCCTTGTGATCCAATCACTTCTCAAAGGCCCCACCTTTCAAATATCATAACAGAATTTCCCACCCTCTTAACACTGTTACAGTGGGGATCAAATTTCCAACACATGAACTTTCAGAGGACACATTTGACCCACAGCACTTGAGTTCTGTTTATATTGCACATATTTTGTCATTATAATCGAAAAAAAGGTGTCCAAGATAATGTTTCCCATACTTTTTTCTATGTTTCTTTTTTAACTGGAACTTTTAGAAAGAAGGAAATGAATGTGCACTTTAAAATTCCTTAGAGGCACAGAGAGGACAATAATAGCTGATCTTTTGAAATCTGAAAAGCATCTTTAGATGACAAAGCAAAAAGACGTAAAAATGAGAATGAAGGTGGGAGGGATCACCAGCTTCTGCAGTTCATAAAAATTTTAGATAGCAATTGTCACAACCATATGCTTTTACACATAGACATTAGAAGTAAAACAGCATGAGTTTATATATTCTGTTACTTTCATCCCTTTATTTCTCATGTATTTAGAAGTAGATTATAAAAGCTGTTTTGTTTGACAATTAAGTGATTTCATAGATGAAGTAGGAAACATTTTGGTTTCCCTAACATTGAATTCTGAAGACAATTGGAGCGGAACTTACTGGAGAAACTCTGTATGTCCTAGAATAAGAAGCAAGTGCGTATGCTGCTCCTCATTTTTCTTGCATTTTAATTTCTCAGCCAACATGCGGCCTCATCTTTAGCGCAGTGATACCATCATGACTTCACAGACATGTTCTAGAATCTGTACCCTTACCCAAATATGAAGAATAAAATGTATCAAAGGTTTTCTGTGTGTGAGACTTTATTTAATGCACATCTGTGTTAAATATCTGAGGAACTCGGTAACAACCCTGTAAACCATGATGATGTACTACTACACAGCAAACACTTGTAGCTTGTGTTTCAAATACTGTTTAATGAAACTTTAATACTTTATTAATTTGCAGCCAGAATAAAGTTGAATTCCAGTGGGATCCTTTTCTAAACCTGACATGGGTTTTATACATATTTTAGCCTCTTCCATTTTCTGTGTGGTGAATTTTGCTGCTTAAATGCAATATATTTGGAGAAAGTGACGACTTGAATAAAAAAAGATGCTCATTGTAAATACTCAAGGCCAGTGGTCAATTCTGGAAGGATAATAGAAAAACAGAACTAATGTTGTAAACTAATATTACATTTTAAAAACAAGTTAAAGTTTTCAACTGAGATCTTCATGGTTGGTGGAGGAGGTGGATGGAAAAAGCATCAGTTGAACTGATTCAACTCTGGACAAAACCTGTGTAATGAGGCAGTATTCTATGAAATTGGATCATCTTTTCTTTTCACATCTAGGATTAAAATCCTCTTTCAGGACTTTTAGCACTTTTTGAAATCCCTGATTATTAATACTACAGCTATACAAGTGAATGCCTAAGGGCTTTCCAGAATTTCAACTACTAATACACATTAATCTTTTAAATGTGTTTACAGTCCTTTGTCCTATCAGAGTTTAGCCTCTTAGATATAGAATATGCTAGACACTTAAAAAGTTTTATTTACTGAAGCCCTTTCTTAACTATCCTGCTTTGTATGCAAGGATGTTTATAGCAATATTAAAGGAGGAGAAACCAAAGCTATCAGTTGTTGGCTAGTTTAAAATTACTTGGTTGAAAACTATAACTATTTAAATTTGGATACTTTTGTACACACTAAATTATCTTTAAAAAATAGAAACATGATACTTCTTTCCCATGGCTTGGAAGGCCAAATAATATATTGTTTTAAGTTTGTCCTTATTAGATCCATTCTCTTTGAGCCTGTTTTGCTTGTCATGTGCCACCTATGATTACATAAAAGAAGGCAGGTGTCAATTATTCACTCAAGTAAGGAAGAGAGAAAGGGCATCAAAGCTTGATTTCCTAATTTCTAGGGTTCGTGCCATTTCTATTATTACAAAATCTCAAATTCTGTGCACCTAGTGATCAGGACGGATAATTAAGGGTTCTAAGAACTTGGAAGGAGGAAAGAACATGGGTTTGAGCTGTCAGGAAGTTCGTTGTGGAGGAGATGGGACCTGACTGGGGCTTTGAAGATTGGGCAGGACTCTTATAAAAGCAGAGCAGGAGGGAAGTCTCTTGGAGGTGTTCTATGGAAGGATCAGTGACAGCAAAAGCACAAGGGTGTGCAGGAGGATGTTTTACCAAGAGGAGTGTGAAGGATGTGTGGGAGATAAGACTGGATTAGTAAACTGGGGCCAGGCAATGGATGGTCTTGAAGAATAGGGGAAGGAGAGTTAGTTTAATCCTGTAATTGAGTTTCCTTTTGAAGATTTTTGAGAAGAGCAACAAAATCAAATTACATTCATAGACTAAACTTAAAAATATATATGTATGTGTGTGTGTATGTATACATATATATATGTACATACATATATTTAATATTTAGGTAAAACCGAAAGCTTGTCAATAACTACATTATTTAGAAAAAAATTATTTTCTACAAAAAACCAGCATGCTGTCTCCCATTGTCCATATATATATGGAAACTGGTGGCCAGAAAGTTTTTATTATATAGGGTTTACTTTTCCCATTACTTTTTCTGGTGACACTTTGTTTTCTCCACATCCTGTGGCTTCAGTGTTCTCCTCCTCACAAATACCCCTATCAGGCTAATACCCCAAAACACCAGTGGAGTCTCTGAGGGAAAAATCCAGGCAGGTTGGAAACTGGAAACCTCCACCAATTCTCCAAAGAAGTGCTAATTAACAATCTTCCATTTCAAAGCATCAGAAGGGCCAGGAGCTCAATTCACCCCTCACATAGGGTGAAACACGAGTTGTTGGATTAAGATACTGTGTGATGATGGGCCGGCCTGGTGGTGCACTTGGTAGAGTGCAGCGCTTGGGAGTGCGACGGCGCTCCCGCCGAGGGTTCGGATCCCATATAGAGACCGGTCTGCTCACTGGTTGAGCACGGTGCAGGCGCAACACCGAGGGTTGCGATCCCATTACCGGTCACGAAAAAAGACAAAAAGGGAAAAAAAAAAAAAAAGATACTGTGTGATGAATGACAGCAGAGGAGATGGAAGGAGAGAAATGGGGATATAATAGTTAATACTGCTGTTATATTTATTGTCATTTATGAGAAGAAAGCAATAGTAAAGTGAATGTTTACTAAAAAATTTTTTTTTTAAATTTCTGCTTCTGGAAGAATGACTCTAAATTTCACCTAGGTCACTCAAGCTGATTGCAAGTAGAAAATGTTGCCTCTGAATATTACTATTTTATCTCCTTCCCCTTCCTCTTCAGCCCCTATTTCATCATTGCCCAAGCATCCTGCCTCTTACAAATACCCCTGTTAGATGTTAGCACTGTTGCCAGTTCTGTCACCTGTATCCAAAGTATTGCTGCTGAAATAGTCTTCAAATTCTAATCCAAGAGTCATTATTTCAATTTCTTGTTCTTCTAGATGATTCTGTTGCCCCTTATTCCAATTCTTTTGGCAGTTGCACCTGTGGTTTGAGCATTTGGAGAAAAGGGAACAAATTAATCCTGGAAACTCAAGAGCTTCACAGCAAAAATTACAAAACTTACATGCCTCAAAGAATGCAGAACATATTAGAAATTATGGCTGGGGAGCTCCTGAAATCACAGCAATACAACAACCACCACCACAACCACCATTCATTGGGCATTTACTATTGCCAGGGACTAGTTCAATGGCATTTAGCTCATGGTGAATCATATCATCGAAATAAGAGGGCAGGTGCTGGGGTGGGCCTGGTTTCAAAGCCTGCCACTAGCATTTACTAGTTGTGTGGTATTGGGCATCAATTTTCTTAGCTGTAGAATAATAATAAAAGGGTCTAATTCACAAGGATATTGTAAGGATTGAGTTATATAATACAAGTGTGTAATCAATGTCAGCACTTATTTTTAAAACGTTATCTCATTACAATCTTCTATAGCTTTGTAGAGGGAAACAACTCAGAGAAGACAGTAATTTGCCTAAGGTCACACAGCTAGGAAGAGACAGCAGGATTTGAACCAGATCTTCCTGATCTGAGTACCCATTATTATATACTGCATGTAAAAATACCATTACAAGAATATAAAATAGATGTTCTTTTAAAAATGGATCTTTCCTCTTTGAAGTAACTCTCCTAATTTGATGCTCAGTAAAATTTTAAAATAAAATGTTACTTGGAGAACTTCCCCCCAAGGACAAAAACATTACAAAAGAGCAACATAAGTCCAAATCTGCAAATCCGCATTGTACTTCTGTTCCATACGAACAGCTTAAAGATAAGGCAAGTCCGTAAAGAGTCTCATGCATGGTTATATCTTTGGAGGGTGAGTCACCATATATGTACTTTCTGAAGAAGTCGGGGGGGGACACTCAGAGTTTATGTAATAATGACTAGGGATGCCTCTCCCTCTATTGCGCATATCCACCTGCCCATGTGATGACCCATTCTGGCCATGTGCTCCTCTTACAGCTAGTTCTCTGACCATGACCTTTGGCTAGGAATGTTTCCCAGTATCCTGCCCACCAGAGAGGGCCTTCCATGTGCTAATGCCTGCCAGCCTTCAAGCCAATGGATTCTCCATGTGTTTCTGACCCTCTCTTGCCCTCATCCCGGACTTCAAGAAGGGAGGGGTGTGACTGCCCTTTGGTAAGGTTCACCCATGGAGAACACCAGTGGTGACAAACAATGAAGAGTGGGCTGGCCAGTTAGCTCAGTAGGCTAGAACGTGATGCTGATAACTCCAAGGTCCAGGGGTCAATCCCTGCACCAGCCAGCTGCCAAAAAATAAACAAAGAGTAAATAAAAACAATGAACAAAAAATATGCCAGGTATTTAAAGTAACAGTAAAGCTGCAATAAATAGTTAAAACAGTGCATTCTTGGTATTGTGGAGTAAGGGAAAAAGCATTTTATATAATGTTATTCCCATGTATGTTTATAGATCTTTGGAAGGCTTCCAAAATAAAATTTTAAAAAGCAAAATATGGCACTGACCCAGAATAGTAAACCCAGAGACATACGCGGGTACTTCAAAGAATTCATGGAAAGACTTGTATTATCTTTCAACTCTATTTTTCCACAAACTTTGATGTAGCCTTATATTGACATGTTTAAAATACGACCAAGCCGGCAGTTCAGATCACTAGGGAGAAGAGGAATGAGTCACTAAATGATCATTGGTTAACTCTTTGGAAAAGAAATAATAAAGTAGACTTCTTGCTTCCTATTTACTTTTAAAATTGAACCCTTCAACTTAATCTGTAATATTAAATATTATTTTAAAAACCAAAAACTATAAAAGTTGCAAGAAAAGATAGACACATATTTAAATAATCTTCATAGAAGCCACTTCTAAGCAGAACACAAAAGACAGAAACCATAAAGGAAAAGACAGCTAGATTTGATATTATAAAAATACAAATCTTACAAAAAGGAAAGAATTGACTTGTGTTATTGTTAGGGAGCCCCTTTCCCCTTCACTTGTTAGTTAAAATTAGGTTTTTTAAAAAGTGTGTGTGGTTTGCATTGTGTGTGTGTGTGTGTGGCATTACATACCATAGAGGCTGGGAGGTGGGGCAGGTTGGGGAGACCCATTTCAGCAGGGGTTATTTGATTCGGCACACCTACATTGAGTTCCTGCTCTGGGCCAACACCTCAGTGGGTGTCCAGCATAAAGAAGAGGAAAACCTGCCTCGAGGAACTCAGAGTCTAACAGGAAACCTACCCTGTGTTCTTAAGGGCTCTAAACCTGAAGCAGAATGTGGAAGGTGCTATAAAAGAGGTTGGGATAAAAGGTAACGGAAATATACAGGAAGAGTACTACTGATGTTTTGTTTTTGTGTGTAAGAATTGGTACTTGAGCCAAGCCTTGGAAACTGGATAGATTTCAACAGACAGAGATAGAAGAAAGGTAAGTTGAGGCAGAGGGCGGTATGGAGGCAGGAAAGCAAGGTCATTCAGGGGAAATATCAGGAGATGTGGTTTGCTGTAGATGTCAGAGTCATGATCAAAATGTGGTCCCCAAATAAGCAGCAACAGCATCACCAGGGAATTTGTCAGAAATGCAAATTCCCAGGCCCCATCCAAGACCTATTGAATCAGAGACTCTGGGAGTGGGCTCAGTTGTCTGTTTTTAGCCCTCCAGATGATTTTGATGCACACTAAAGTTAAGAACCACTTGTCCATGGGGAACATAGTCCAAGACTCCCAGTGGATGCCTGAAACCACAGATAATACCGAACTTATATACACATGTACTGTTTTCTCCTATACATACATACCTATAATATAATTTATAAACTAAGCATGGTAAGAGATTAAGAATAACTAATAATAAGATAGAATAATTATAACAATATACTGTAATAAAAGTTAAGCGAATGCGGGCTCTCTCAAAATATCTTATTGTACTGTACCCTGGGTAACTAAATCTGTGGAAAGTGAAACCACAGATAAGGGGGGACTATTGTATAGACTTTAGAAAAGTTGTATATGAAAAACTCTTTTTTCCACTAAATATTAAAGGAAGGCTATTTCAGGTCTATATAATTCCTGGACTAAAGATCTTTTGAGATGAGCTTGAAATATTACATTGTTTTTTTTTTCCATGGAGACGCCCTTTTTAAGAATCATAACGTTTCAAAGCTACGATCTACATTGGGCTGGCTTTGGCTCTTGTGGATTCTACTGGTTTCTTTTTTGGAGGCAACCAAAAAAAAAAAAAGGAGAGGGGGAGAAGAAAAACAGAAGTTGAAGATAACGCTGCTCGGTTTTAGACTTGAATGCTTGAGAGAATGGAAAACTGGGAACCAGAAACAACAACCAGGCCTAAAAGTAAAAAGCTTGGTTTGGGGACAGATTGAATAAAGATGCTAAGAAAACCCTGAGTAATCTAAAGGGAAAGGGTGATTTGGGGTTTGTCCTAGATTACATGATATTGAAACAAAGGAAGAAGATGGGAAAGAGGAGAAAATTGCTAAAGGATAGAATCTAGAGAACTGGTTAAAGAGAAAGATCATCTTGTAAATTGAGGCAAAAAAGAAATGGCCAGAGATGAAGATGAAGGTCAAGAGTCTATAATCTTAAGTCCCATAATCATAACAACTACTAATGTGTCATGGAGTTTTTGGCCAACTATGGCTACTCATGATATTACTATTCTGAAGTCTTTCTGGAGGAGAAATTTAGCAATGTCTTTAGCCAACTGGCGGGGAGCAGTCCAGATATATGTAAGGGAGCCCTAAGTAAAATTAAGTGCATGTTAAAATAGTTACCTTATTTGATTGTCACAGAAACTTGGATGTGATATAAATGCAGTTGGCCTCAGTGAATTAAACAGTTGCTGCAAATGGGATTTTATCTCAGTGAAAAGTACAAATACTCATCCGGGATGGCACACAGTGAGCAGACCAAAAAAAATTTTTGAAGATGAAAGGAAAGCATCCATTTGTCAGGGAGTGATAAGCCTGTGTAAGCCTAAAGTCTTTGCTTTGTGGTGTATCATATTATCTCAAAGTTATTAACTCATAGGGAGATGAATTAGTCGTTATCTAATAAATTCAGTTTGTTAGACAAGACAAAGACCTTAAAGACATAGCTAAAAACAATAGCAAACTAAGAAATTCCACAGGAGCCAAATATGTAAATGAGTGAAGCATGCAGGTGTAAGGACGTATGGCAAAAGAGAAAAAACTGGAGAGTCCACTATCTGCTTTAAGGGAGAAGTCAACACAGAGAACAGATGCTTTGTCCCATGCAAATGCAAACCCAGTGTGGCCAGATCTGATGTTTCAAGTGGTTCCAGATATCTGGAATTTATGTGACATTTAAAAATTTATACAATACCTAAGCCACATAAAACAGGCCTGCAGATCTGGCCTGTAGTTTGCCAGTTTTCAGTGCCTGGCCCACAGTGTAAATTTCTCTTAACGTGAATTGAATGGGTAATTTCTTGGAGGAGGTAGCATTTGAACTAAGCAAGTCTACAGATTTTCCTTTATTCTTTGCAAACCTCTTCATTTCAGTGATCCCAGGCCAGAAGCATGGGATGGGGAGAGAAGAAACATTAAAATAATAATAATAATAAAAAGAACTTTTTTAAAAACACGAATTGATTATTGGGATATGCTCTAGAAGATACAAAAGTAATATTTCCAACTCGAGAGAGGAAAATAACTACTATTTAAGAGTAAATAACTCCTAAGTATGTTTTTGAAAATCAGTATTATAGTTAGCAATATCAGTAAAGAAAAAAAAAAAAATCAC